TTTTTTTTTTTTTTTTTAGAAAAGCTATGAATTTGACAAAAATAATTCTTAATATTGACAACGAGCAGCCAGGAGATGGTACATTATACCATGGAGAGTGAGAAGTATAAACCTCTGATGGATTTTTCCTTCCTTTGTGAGTGTAAACCAGGATGGGGATGCATTATTCAGTAGTGAAATTCAGAATTAGTATAATTGAGGTGCAATGCCAGTGGAATCAAGACAAATGAATCCTACTCGTTGCAGTATGAGATTTGTCCTGTAGCTTTAGGTCTTCATGGAAATTTAACCATTTGTCTCTTCTCCTTATTGCTTAGAGAAGGCAGCCAGCATTTCCATGAGATTATTTAAATGTAGAATTATTAGAAAAGTTTGCAGCTACAGAGACAGATGGGTTTTACATAAAATCCCTGCTCTTTGTAGCAGCCCAGTGTGATATTGAGCAAGATAATGGTCAGAAAGTACATTGCCAGGCTCCTAATGAGAAACTGTTGACAGTAGAATTACCCCAACATTCATCAAAAAGCCAATAAACGTCAAGCAAGGGGCCTTTGATGCAGTGGCTCATAATTCCTGTTCAGAAAGGCTTTGCAGTCACTTCAGGGCACACAATCACCCCGCGTTTCTGCTGATTTCACCAAAAACTTTGTCACTGAACAATTACAGGGAGCAGGTGTCAGCATTCCAAGTGCCCCGGTTCCAGCGCCACCGGCTCACCGTGACACCTCAGGCACGGCACATTTGGCCTCAATTTCCCCATCTGCAAGACAGGAATGACAGTACAGGAATCACCCAGAGGCAGTTCTGTGAAGGACACGGTGTTGGCATCCAAATGCTCAGAAATCATGAGCTAGACGGGCAGAACTCCCATGCTGACTCCTGCCAGTGAGGGAGTCGTTCTATAAAAGCTTAGATAAACTGTTCTTTGGCTCTGTGGAACACAGAGGGTGTAAATACCTCGCCTATCACCCAGCTCCTCTGTTTGTCTTCAGCAAATATCCCCCAAGTGATGTGAGGCAGGGCCATGAATTAGGAACGGCCTTGAGCTGAGCGTTCCTCTCCTTGTCTTTGCTCCCTGGCTTTAGGTTTGCCTTGTCCCTGAGGGGAGCCTGAAGCCACATCACAGGTGACACGGCCACACCCTCTAGGTTTTGCCTGTAAATATCTTTTCTAAAGTTTCCAGGTAAAGGTTCAGAGCCATTCTTCTAAGGCTCCATGCACCCTGAGGTAATTCAGTCCATCCATACCGGCCATTCCTTGCCTGTATTTTCTTGACCGGTTTCCATTCCATACAAACAGAAAACATGTCCCTGTTGGTCATTTCCAGGGACAAGCTGTGTGAGGATGGGGTTGTGCCCGGTTTCCAGGGGAGGCTAAGTGTGTGCCACATGCTATTAGGGTCACTTGAAACTGGGCTAATTACCTGGCAGACACTGCTGCAGAGAGCTCCTTTAATAAAAATGAATGGGGTGACAAGGAATGGGCTCCTCGCTATTTTGGGATGAACTCTTCCCTCGGGCAGCAGATAACCACGGTGGTAAGGCTCCCAATCCATCATTTGGTTTGCTGTTTCTTGGCTGTAGAACTTAATTAACAATTCTGGAACTGCTCCGTTTCCCAGGGATAGCTTGTAAGTCCATTAAATTAAACAATAAAGGCAGATGTGGGCAAAAATAAAAAATCCCATGCAAGTCCGAAATGAAAAATTGTTTTGTCAGTCTTCAGGGGCCGGTGCAGGAATGTTATAAAACCTGCTGAAGTTTTTCTGTCTAGTGGTTCAAGCAAGAGAGAGATGTTCCTGTGGATGCCACCATTTGTGGAACTGATGATTACTAATTAAACGGGCATGTAGTGGCAGGAAAAGGAGGAATGGTTTTAAACTGAAAGACAGTAGGTTTAGGTTTGATACTGGGCAGAAATTCTTTACTGTGAGGGTGGTGGGGAACTGGCACAGGTTGCCCAGAAAAGCTGTGGCTGCCCCATCCCTGAAGTGTCCAAGGCCAGGTTGGAAGGGGGCTTGGAGCAACCTGGTCTAGTGGAAGGTGTCCCTGTCCATGGCAGGGGGGTTGGGATAAGTTGATCTTTAAGGTCCCTTTGAGCCCAAACCATTCTATGATGATTCGATGATTCTATAACTTCATAATTACTTGATTGCATGAAATAGTACAAATATTGTGAAAACTGAGTTAAAACCTATTTTTTTTCTATTCAAGATGTGAAAGTACAAGACAAACATTTGTCCTACCTACGAATTAGGCTGAAAAATACCATGAGCCTTCCCAAGAAACCAATTTTTGGACACCATTTCTGATAGTTAACTCCCCCTCCCAACACCACTTTGCCTTGCTCAAGTGTGCTTGTTCTTAACTTCCATCAATTCTGCTCTCAGTGAAAAGGCTTAGGAGACCTCTGTGTCTTTGGAATATCAGTGTCCTACAAGGCCATTCAAACTGAAGGAATCCATGTGCAGGAATAATTTGATTCCACTGTGATACAGCTATTATTTCAAATGAAGTAATTATTCTTTTAAAATGCATTTTTTTTCCCCCTTAAAAATTGCAAGCAGGAGTCAGTAATAATAATAATAATAATAACAATGCTCAAAGCCCATCCAGTGTAGATGGCAATCAACTGCAGAATATTTTCTAAATAACTGAAAGAATGTGCTCATCTAAACTGTCACTTTTGCTTTAAGATGGCCAGTGAAACCATTTTATTACTGCAGTTAGCTGGAAAGAGCACTGTTCTGCAAAAATCAGATAATGTACTTATTTCTAAAAGCCTGGAACAAAAGAGCCAGTTGAGATTTGCTGAGTAGTTGCAAGATAGCCATTAAATATAAATATTTTTAAAAACAATTTACTCTTTCCTAATGCTTTTAGAGCAGCATGTGGGAACAGAGTCTAAGTGCAGCATCTTACTGCATTGAAAAGGACATCATGAAGGTTATTGGGCTCCAGATTTAACTCTTCTCTCTCTTAATTGCTCCTAACAGTTCCTAACTTAATATTAACTCTGTAAGGTTTTTTTATAAACTTTACTGGTGGTCACAATAATATATTTTTAAAACAAATAGTCCCAACTTAACTCTTTTTTTCTCATTTCTATAGAAATAAACTATGTTGAGCGGGGAATTCAAGTTTAAGTTTCCATTCCTCAAAGCAAAAACTGCAGCAGAACTGAAAAATTTCTCTTTTCCACCTGTAGATGGGAAAGGGAATTGCTTTGTGGGGCTGGATGTGTATAAATTGTAAAATATTTATATCACTGGTTTCAATAAAAAGCCTGTGGGGACAGTCCTGGGACTTTCCTGGGGATCTGATTCACTCCTGTGGGGGAACTGAGGAAGGAAGTCACATTCAGCCAGCCAGGGAACCAAGGACATGGGAGCAACATACCTTAAAAAATCCTTCCTGATCCATGAAACTTCCACACCTGGAGTTTTAGGAGCCATAATTAGGATTAATTTGATCTAACTGAAGACAGCTAAGTCTGTGCTTAGCACTTTGGGCTACTTTTACTGTCAACAAAGAATAAAAGGCCCGTCCATGCAGTGATTCGCCTGATCCTGCTTAGATGTCTGTTTAAGGATGAGATGGATGAGCCTCCATGATTTGGCTATGTGGTACTTGAGAAAAAAATGCCTTTGCTGGGAGGCCATTCCATGTTGGTCACCGTGGATTGGTATCAAGACTCGCATCACTCAGTATCACCATCATCATCAGATCCTCAGCAAGTCTGCAGGTGATACAAAACTGAGGGAGTGACTGACACACCCAATGGCCTGGCTTCAATCCCAAAAAAAACATCAGCTAAGGAGAAATGCGAGCTTCTGCACCTGGGAGCAATAACCCCAGCACCAGCACAGGTGAGGAGAGGACTGGCGGAGCACAGTCCTGCTGGAACTGGGCTCCCAGTGCATGAATCAGAGCCAGCAGTGCCCTCTCACCCCAGACCAGACCGAAGGCACCCTGAGCAGCACTCACTGGCCAGCACATGGAGGGCATATTCAGACTACAGTCCAGTTTGGGCACAACCAGTAAAAAGGGATGTGAAGAAACTGGAGCTGGTCCACTGCTGGGCTGCCAAGCTGGTTACCTACACAACCTGACCTCCAGAGAGGGTGGAGGAAGCAGGGCTTGTTCAGGCTGGCACAGAGGTCAGTGTGGTGTAAGTGCAGCCTGTGACTGCTTGAAGACACTTACACAGATAATGGAGCTGGAGTTTTCTCAGCAATGTCAGATAATGTAACCAGGGGCAATGGACAAAAATTTCGCTTCAAGGCTCAGATTGGACATTAACAAGAAATATTTCACCAGGAGGGTTGCAAAGCACTGTAAGAGATTGCCCAGAGGAGCAGCTGAATCCCTGCTGTAGGAGGTTGTCAAGTCCATAAATCCATGGCTGAACTGCTCCAGTGCTGGTAAAAACCCAGATTTGAGCACAAGGATGGACTTGCCAACTATCAGATCCAAGATTCTGTGATAAACTGAAGACAAACAGCCTGAAAATTACAGCTGGGTCAAGTCACTGCCAGGTGGGGATCTCTGCTGAAGCCCACGGGGTGGCTTTCACTCCAAGCCATGCTCATCCTCCCTGGAGTCAGCAGCACAGATCTCTAGAGCTGGGACAAGCTGCTTGAACTGACAGCAGAACACCAGGATTTGCTCTGGGATCCATCCAGTTCATAAGCAGATATATCCATAAGGAGCAATGGATCACTGTTACAGGCTTCTGTAACACCCAAGCAGTTCTGGAATCCATTATGATGTACTACCATCATCTCTGGCATGTGCCCAAACACTTTAATTCTCTGTTAATAAATGGAAATTTATTTTTTACTTCTCCCCAGAACTATGGGGAGAGGTACTGAACAGGATGATCCGAGCTCGCTCTCAGTCTCTGTGACTCCCTGAGTAACCTGGGACATCTTAAACTGATTTTTGCAGCACGGAGTTCCTCCTAAAACCACAGATTAAATTCACTGCTGAGAAAACCCATTTTCTTTGATTTTTCTTAACATTTATTACATACTTAAAATGAATTTATTGTGTCTGGCATATGCAAGAAGACAAATTTAACTTTCAGTAAGAACAAAAATATAGTTCCCAAAGGCAACTGCGTGAAGAACCATAAAGCACAGCTAAGGTTAGTTAAGAGACAGGAATCATTTCTTCTCCTCCTGAGAGTGTGTCCAGACTGGCTTACGCTTCTGGATAAAGGCTTCGATACCCTCCTGCCCATCTCTCAAAGTCAGATTGTCTACCATGACCTGAGTAGTCATTTTGTAAGCAGTGTCCAGGTCCTGGGTTATCTGTCTGTAGAAGGTGGCTTTCCCCAGGGCCAGGACGGACTTGCTGCTTTCACAGATCTTCTGAGAGATTTTCATGGTCTCTTCTTCCAGCCTGTCCTCCGGCACCACCTTGCTGACGAGCCCGTGCATCAGCGCTTCGTGAGCAGAGAGGGGCTCACCCGTGAAGAGCATCTCCAGAGCCACCTGAACCAGGAAAAATATTGTCAGTTCAGTCAGTCCAGTGGCTTTACTGCTTTGCTTTGTTTGGGGAGTTTCAGCCTCCTCCTCCACATACTCTTGTAACAAACCTAAGATTTTGATCTTCTGGCCTCTTAAAGTGCCAAGGACACCTTAAAAGGGTTCAGCAAAGAGAAGGGCTAAGTCTAAAGCTCGTCTCTTCAAACCTGCCCGCTGATTCCAGCTGCCCTAGGCTGACACCTCTGGCTTTCTCTTCCAAAGCCCACAACCTCCACCGATTGCTGCAGGAATTCAGAGAGATGTGGATCATCTGCAATGTCAAATGACTGAACCTGGTATTTTAAGCTGGGCGTACGTGCAGCTTTTGAAAACACCTGCCTTAGTTTTAAGTATATGCACTTCATACAGCCCCAGCCAATTCAGTCTTCTGCTGCTTCCAGCATCTGGTACTTGAGGTTTCAAATTAAAAAATCCCCCAAATACTCAGCGACTGTCCAATGTTATGTATCAATGAGGATTTTTTTCCATGACTCCTCATGTAATCGACCAATGCCTGAATTGTAAGAGCTGATTATCCTCATTAGTATCTTTGAAACAATGGCAACATTTCACTTGTTAAGAGGTAAAATCAGCAATCCTGGGAACTGCAGGGAATGTTCTTTGCTACTTTGAAAAGTGGCACAGGGAAAAGTATATCCCATACATTCTAAAAAGGGAATCACACCCCCAAGAAATACTAATTCAGAAGCAGTTACAACTGCACACTCCAGCAGACTTGGAAAAAAACCCCGTGGACTATATTCGAACAGGATGGCCTTACAGATGGGAAATTTCAAGCTGAAGCTCTTATCCAGCAATGGGATTTGTGCTGCATCTCAGCAGAGCCCTGCTGGGCCTGGAGAGTCTGTCTGCATAAATCCAACTGGATCAGAACTTAAAATTCCTGTTCTCAGTTACGGAAGCTTTGCAGATCGCACCATTTTTGAGGCAGTGAGAGATGTGCAGCCACAATCAGTAGGACATGAGACAGGAAGATAGTACAGGAGGGTTTCAGATGCTATTTAGAGCATCTCGCTCTACAGCCAGGCAGATCATGCTGGCAGTGAAATGTCACTGCCTGGTGAGAATTGGTATCTCGGTGGGATTGTTATCCTGAACTTGCAGGGGTTTCCTCCTCAGGGGAGAACATCATGGGCTAAAGCACAGAGCTGTCTGTTGGGAAGGAAAGGGATCACTGAGCTGCTGAGATGAGCTCGTGCTGGCTGGAATGGCATCAGTGGGAAGCTGCTTTCCCTAAGCAGAGTTCATCCCTTTATTATTTGTCCCAGTCCAAAGAGTTATGGAGATGCCTTTTGCAACAGAGTATTTTGAACGCTGTACTGCAGGAAAATAAAGTCCAGGCGATGGAACTAAAACTCCTGACGTGGGAACCTACTTCTTGCAAAACTACAAAGAACGCCTGGGAAGGCAGCCTACCTTTCTTGGAAGAGATCTGCCCAAGGCCACAGCTGGTGTGGAGCAAAACAGCCCGATGTTTACCCCAGGAGTGGCAAACTTGGATTTCTCACTTGCCACGGCGATGTCACAGCTTGCCACGAGCTGACAGCCTGCTGCTGTAGCCAAGCCGTTCACTTGGGCAATCACTGGCACTGGAAGCTTCTGGATTAAAGTCATAACCTGCATGGACAAAGAAAGAGATCAGTATCGAAATTTAGGAAGACACGATCCTGTTTTGGAAGCCCCCAAAAGTACCTTTCTCCCTCTATTGACCAAAAAAGAAACCACCTCAAAATGTTGGATTTTGGCTCCTTCAGCTGTAGCTTTCACAGCATTCCTCAGGTATGGCTTTGGACACGTGTACAGGGATCATTATTACTGCAGGAACTAGAACAAAAGGTTTCAAAGGACTTTCTGCTGTCACACTGAGCGGGATTAGGGATCAAATTCTAGCGCTGTCACAGTCAAAGGGGGTTTTGCCATTCCCTCCAAAGGCTCCAGGATTCACTTTTAACGTCCCAACCTCCAGGAGTGTGTCTTTGTAACAGGAACTTGTATGTTCTGCTGCTGGAACAACCCGTGAGTCAGGTCTTATTTCCACATTTTCTGCTTGATGTTTAAGCTGGTCTTGAGCTCCCAACGAGATGCTGGGAAAGAACATTGGATTACAAGTGATTTGAAGGTGCTTATTCCTAGACTTTTAGGAATGACATTGCCCAAATACTCAGCTGCAAGGAACAGTGGCTAAACTAAGGAACACGCTGTGACTGTACCCATTGCTGGAGACGTGCATGTTGTCTTTCCACCCCTTTTATTTACATGCAGAGAAATCCAGGGAAAACATAAATTCACCATTAAAACAGCAGAGCAGCACAAAGCAAGGAATCTGGAGCAAAAGCCTGTGCTTTAGAGCAAGCAATGCTGTCCTTCCTCAAACCAGTGCTTGCTCTCAAAAACCAAACACAACCAGTGTCACTCAAAAAGGACTGCTCACCTCTGCACATAACTCAAACACTTGGGAATGATGCTTCACATCATCTTCCGTTGACAGTTCCTTTAAGTCATGGCCGGAACAAAATACAGGTCCTTCAGCTGCGAAGAATTTCAGGAAAAGTCAGTCTGAATTAATCAAGAGACCAGGGGCAATGGCACATCAATGCCCCAGCTGAAGGGATGTCAGTGAGATGTCAATGGTCAAAAAGGAGTTTGGGGAAGGAGTTTTGCACAGAGTTGGAAAATGTTGTGTTCTGGGGTTTGCGACAACTGTAAATTGCCACAATGTAACACTTAACCACAGTAACACCCATAAACACTTTTCAAGGCCTAGTTTTACTTCCATTCCAGTTAACTCAGTTATAAATGAGGCTCTGAGCCCAATTTCTTGTAAGGATACTGTCCAAAAGTGCTTCTTGGTGCAACACAAACTGGTCAGCTGGAGCAAGGCTGGAGTGCTCTGCTCTCAGACTGATAAACACAGTTAAGCACCCAGAATTAATTATTAACATTTGCTAAATAAGCATCGATATTTTTTGTGCCATGGTGTTCAAGGCCAGAGTGAAAAAAAAAAAAAAAAAAGAGATTATTCTGCTAGAGGAGAATCAGAAGGACTGCTGGGGTGTTGTTACTGCTAAAGTTGTCATCTAGAGAATCCCCAAAAAGTATGGTCAGGGTTTGGGCAGCAAACCAGCATGATTTTTGTGGAATTAAGCTGTGGATTTTGCTAAGATCAAAACATCCTGTACAGGTATGCAATCCTTGCAGCAGTTTTCCTTTGTCATGAGGATATGTGCTATGAGAATAAACCAATGTGGTGCTTTTTAGTCCTTCAGGACTTCTCAGACATTTGCATGGATATGACATTTCCAGCTATGTAAGACCCAACCTGGATTTTTTTCTTGAGGGTCAGAAAGAAACACACAATTATTGTCAGTCAGCTCATGGGATCAGCAATCTATATCTGGAAATTAATCACATCTGCATTTATGCCTCGTTGAAGAAGAATCCACTGCAAAGTCTGTGTTAAAGACCCAAAGCATTCCCTGAGAAGTCTCTTATTTTCTTGAAATGTCTTCCTTTGCATTCCATTCAGCAAGGGAACTGGCAATCAACAGGAACATGCAATTCCTTTTTAAACTAAAACCCCAAGTGCAACTGTGCTCACAAACTGCCACAGCACTGTACTCCCAACCTGTAACTGCTGTTGGAAGTGTCGAATATGTGTATTTAAACTCACCCCTGTGGAGTCAGCTCACTTCCACTTGTGTGTGTGCACTAACACTCAAGTGTTTTCCTCTCAATATAGGAAAAAGCATCATCCTAAATTAATAAACCAATTTCTCTGAGATGTTTGGAAAGGGGGCGGAGGAAGGTTATCTTAAAATAGCAGAGGAAAAAAAGATGGCTTAAGAAAGGCTCAAGTTTCATTATCTTCAAGAACTCTCCAGGTTAATACCTAAATGGAAGGAAACTCTAACAGGCTCAAGGAGGGAGACTGTTTTACATGCCTGGGTTATGGGTGACTGTGGTATTGATATTATAGTCTCTGCTTCCTCTGAGAGTTTTAAAAATAGTTCTGACAAACCAGTGTTGATAATTTGGCTGATCCTGGCTCTGAGGAGAACAGAGCACTTGGTTTGCAGAACCCTTGCAGATCCCTGTTTACTCCAGTCTGGATCTGTCACCAAAGGCAACAAGTGTCATCCCAGCTCAGCCTGTTCCTGCACAAAGCCCGTATCTGGGAATGTCGCTGCTTTACTTTCCTAACTATTAGAGCTCCTGTTCTGTTTGGCTTTTGTTCCGTTTAAAGTATTCTTCAGACGTAGTTTTAGAGCAAATTATTCCACCTGCTGACTGTTTTTGCAAAAGGAGGCAGCGCACCGACTGTAAACACGCTGCACGGCCCGACTGTGAAACAAGGACGTCTTGGCACGTGTTTCTGCTTAGACGTGCTGGTTAAAAACAAAACCCAAGCGAGTTGTTAATGCCGTGTTCGAGAGCGAGGAATTAAGGACGTGAGAGCGGGAAGTGCGATGAGTACACAGGAATACAGGGGGAGAGAGGCCTGAGGGGTGCAGGAGACCGCGGGGGTGGCAGGGACACAGCACCACGCAGGTCCCTTCCCGTCCCCTTTCCCGCTATCCCGAGGGAGGCCGGGGGTTGAATCCCGGTGTGTGCGCCCCGTGCCCGCCCGCGCCCCGCGGTACCCGCGATGACGATGACGCGGAGCTCCCGGCTCTTCACGTCGTGCAGCAGGTCCTGCCTCAGGCACCGCAGCATGGGCAGGGACAGCGCGTTCCGCCGCCGCGGGTTGTTCAGGACGATGGTGCTGCAAAGCCCCAAGGCAGAGACAGACACAGCGGGGTTACCCTCACGGAACCCCCCCCCGCCGGGTCCCCGCCGGCTCGGTGCCCTCCCTCGCCGCCCCCGCTCACCGCACGCCCCCCGCCTGCCGCCGCACCGTCAGCGGCTCTGCTGGCGGCTCCTGCCCGGGCCCCGCGGCCGCGGCGCTGCCGAAGGCGGCCGTGAGGGGCCTCCGCAGGCGGCAGAGCCGGGCGGCCGCCATGGCTGAGGGAGAGCGGCGAGCCGGGCCGGGCCGGGCGGGGCGGAGCGGGGCGGGCGGCGCTGCCGCGCTGAGGGAGCGCTGGGGCACAGAGACGGTCATGGTGGAAGAGAGTCTTGAGGTCATCGAGTCCACCCCATGACCGTACACCACTATGTGCACTAGAGCAGGGCGGCGAGACTTTCCTTAAACACCAGGCCACGTCTAGTCTTTCCTTAAACACCTCCAGGGACGGTGACTCCACCACCTCCCCTGGGCAGTCCATTCCAGTGTCTAGCCATCCTTTCCTTGAAGAAATTCCTCCCGATGTCCCATCTAAACCTCCCCGGTCCTCGTGTTGTGTTGCTGGTTGTCTGGGAGAAGGGACCGACCCCTGCCTGGGTACACCCTCCTTTCAGGGAGTTGTAGAGAACGATAAAGTGACAGAATCACAGAATAATTAGGGTTAGAAGGGACCTCAGGAGATCATCCAGTCCAACCCCCCTGCCGAGCCAGGGTCACCTGGAGCAGGTGACACAGGAACACTTCCAGGTGGGTTTGGAATGTCTCCAGAGAAGGGAGACTCCACAACCTCCCTGGGCAGCCTGTTCCAGTGCTCTGCCACCCTCCATGGCAAGAAGTGCTTCCCGATGTTGAGGCTTTAGTTGTGTTTTAGTTTATGGCCTTTAGATCCCCCCAAACCTCCCCTTATTAAGGGTAAACATCCCCAGCTCCCTCAGCTGCTCCACATCAGACTTGTGCTCCACACCCTTCCCCAGCTCCGTTCCCTTCTCTGGAAGGTCCCTCCAGCACCTCAATGCCCTTCTTGTCGTGAGGGGCTGAAAACTGAACACGGGATTCGACGTGTGGCCTCACCAGTGCCACGTGCAGGGGATGCTCTGCTTCTTGTGAAAGATCACTTCAAGGCCAAGAGTAACCGGTATGGGATGAAATTCAGTTCTGTGGGGCTTGGGGTCATATACTTAGGAATTATTATTAAGATTGTAGTTTATTCACTGGGAGCTCATCATCGTGGTCATGGAGTAGACCTTGTGTGTTCTAATTGGTTCTACACAGTCAGTCTGTGGTCCCTGTGATGCATCCAAGAAAAAAAAAATAGGCAAATGTGATTTTAAGAGGTGATTTGGTGATTTTAAATTTCAAATGGGATTTTAAATTTCAAACTGTTTTTATATATTCACAGCTTAATTATTGTATATGCTTCTGGTCACCCACACTCCAGAAACCAGGCTAAAAGAGGGGCAGGGAGAATAGGAGCAGCATAGAACAGAGAGTCTGTTATGAGGGATGAGGGGAGCGTTGTTCCTTGAGTCCAGCAAGACAAATTCGAAAGGATTTATGGCTGCTGTCTTGAGGACAAGCATTTTGCATCTGAGAAGATAAAGATGAAGAACCACGTGGGCACTGCAGCAAACAGGTATACACTGAGCATTAACATGTCAGATCCAGAAAGGAAGGGACAAAGACACTGCCATCAGAGGAGTGAGGCTGTGGAACAGCCCTGCCATAGATGCCACATGGATAAAACCTGTTTTGGGTTGTTCTTTTTTTTTACTGGAGGAATGGATCTGGGGAAGTGGGTCCCTCTCCACTGGTGTTTCTGCTGAAACCCAAAGCTCTCCCTTGCCAGCTGCTGGCACGATGCATAGCAAGTCTTTCTAGTTTGAGAAACACACAACTCTCTGCAGACCCCAATTACTCAAAATAGCTCTTCCAGAAAATGTCACTTTGCAATATAACCTCTCACATTTCTTTCATTCCTCTTTTCTCTGTTCTCTCCCAAGAGCGATGTCCCCTCCCTGTCACACCTGGCTCGGGCAGTCTCCTGGGAAGGGAGCAGCTGTGTGGATGAGGCAGCTGGTGAACAACCTCATCTGCCAGGAGAGAAGCTGCCAGGCCCAAACACCAAGCAGCCTTGTTCCACAAGATACAGGTACCCTAAAATGAGACAGACACGTGTCCAGCATGTGTTCCTTTTAAATACAGATCTGTGCTCCTGCCTCCTGATCTCCTTATTCTTGTGAGTTCTAGGAAAGTGCCTGTAGATTCCCAGACGTGTCTCCAGTCGTCATCAGTGTCTGTTGAACCCCTGCAGTGTTTCTGCCTCTAGGGGCAATTGAGGCTTCTCAGTTCTGAGCTTCAGCCTCATAAAAGAACCGCCGGAATTTTGTGTTTAATAATATATTTACTTATACAAACAGTAGCTTAATGTGGGGATGCACTTTCTGCTTACTGATTTTATATTGTCTAACACAAGATCGCTGGGCTTTGTGGCTCTAACGTGAGAGCAACAATGGCTTTGTGTACATGTTTCAGTGTTGAAGGGCACTGACAGGCCTGAGAGCTAATTCTGCTCTGGCCTTTCCCCAGTTGCCCACCTTTGTTTTCTCATGGTTGTTTGTGCCTCACGTTCATTCATTGAAAAGTTTTTCCCAAATTTACTTTCAATATGTGATAGGAATCTGTAGCCAGAAAAAAAAAAAATCCATTTAGAAGTAAATTAGATTATCTTAAATAGATCCCAGCAGTGTTCAAAGTCCCTGCTTGGTGTGGCAAAGGCCATCACACAGAGAACATGCAGGGAACAGTTCCCAATCCCCTGCAACTCTGACCAGTGACCTCTTTCAAGCTTGTGAATACAACCTTTTTTTTTTTTTTTCTTCTAGTGCCTTCTCTTTCTCCATCTGCTTGTCCTTTTTCTGTCCATCTCCAAGAAAAGATTATTTTTTTTTTTGTCTTCTCTAAAAAGCTTATTTTTATATAGTGCTTCCAGCTCCCTGGAAATTCTGTTCTTTTTCACTTTGACTGACAACCTCATGTTTCCTTTCACACCCACCCCCATTACAGATTGTTTTTTGGCTGCAACTTCCCCAACGCATTTAACAGGCCTGCTGCTGCCTTCTCTGAGAAAGTACTGAAAAAAACTTTCCCAATTTCAGGCAGATTCCCTTTTTATAGCATTTGCCAGCAGCATTGTGGTTATGGCTGAGCTCACACTTCCAACTGGAGACAATCAGGAGCCAGGACTGCAAGTACCAGACAGGGCTTTTCTAACCTTTAACTGTGCTGATCCTTGATATAAAATAAAAAGGGAGATTAGGAGGAATATGATCATTACAGAAACTTTGAGGGTATCACACTGTGCAGAAAAAGGATGTTTTGAGTTTCAAGTGTGCTCAGCTGCTGGGATCTCCATTCTAATGTTGCTGAATAGCCTGCCTGGACAATAAAGATACAGGATCCCTTTCTTTATGAAGCACAGGGATTTATTTGGGTCTTTATTTCCTTGCCTTTCGGTGATCCCAGAAGGGACGTGCATCTTGCAGGAGCACCTGCTGTTATAAACAGCAGCTCATCCCAGGGCAAAGGTAGAGCCTGTCCATGAACACATCTGGGAATGGGGAAGTTTATCCATAAAGACACTTCTGTCTGTCAGCTGGAGGGCTATGATGAAAAACTGGGACTGTTTATGGAACACGGGCAGACACATCCCCAGCTGAATTTCATGCAAATTATTTCTCGT